GAGAGAGAGAGAGAGAGAGACTGAGGACACGCTTTGACCATAAATAACATACATCTATGACATATAAGAGAGAGAATAATATTTTCCCGTTACTATAGTATTGCATGATATATAAGGTTTTTCTTGTTATAAAAACTCCTATTGTATATCATGTATACGAAAATTGTATCAAAAATAAAAGGGCTTTTCATTGCAAAAAAATGCATTAAAAACTTTGTGCAAAAAAGTCTTATCGTAACTGAAACTGAAAAAAACTTTCAACTTATTTGTTAGGATTTCGTTGCAGTATTTGGCTGTAAATATCAAAAATATAAATTTCTTTTGATATCAATTTATTTGGTGACAGAATATTCTTATATATAGTGTTATTTATACGAGAATTACCAAGTATTTCAAGCATATTCATAATATATTTTAGGAATATTCATTAAAATATTAATTTCCTTAAATTAAAAATAATATTAATTAGAAAACTATAAAAATACAAACACTTTGCCCTCAAAATGTCTATTTGTTTATGTGTTTTATTTGTTAGTAAAACGTTATGCCTATACTATGTCTATAAGGATGGGTAGAGAAAACAGCAAAACACAAGCAAAATGTTATATAATTTTAGTTTTGTTTTCATTATATAACTTATGTTTACAGTTGAGGGCACACAGGGATGACAGGCGGGCGATAGGACTATGTGTGACATTCATCTCATTTCAAATACAAATATAACAACTTATATACAGATATAGTATGAGAGAGAGAGAGAGAGAGAGAGAGAGAGAGCTCACAAAAATATAAGACATTTTTTCACACATCGCTATCTCTTAACTATGAAAGCAATTGATATTTGAGAGACAAAAGTTGACGGACTGGAAATTAATAATACCCGTTACCTCCCTGTGCTCTCACTCTCTCTCTCTCTCTCACCCTCCCTGGCAATGGTATATCACATTTAGAGACAGCTTTTGACATACCATTGCTCTCTCTCTCTCTCTCTCTCTCTCTCTCTCTCTTAAATAAGAAATTCATTGATGCGTCCATTCATTACTCAAACAATTCTTGTATTCATTTATTTTTTCTCTTTCTCTTTAATACATTTGATAGTTATATATAAGTCATATATAAAGATGTGTTTATTTATATCAAAATATTGCATTAATGTAATTATTATAGTTTAACTATAAATTGTTCAATCCGTAGCTAGAATCAGGATTTTCATCAATTTAATTATTTTTTTTATGGTACTTGAAAATCATATAATATTTAATAGTATTAAATATTAGTTACCATTGTCACATAAAATAATTAAATACAACCATGATAAATATTTGAAATAACAACCACCGTGTTAATATAATTCAATACAATTTAAATATTTAATAATTAAAACACATAATAATAATAATAATAATAAAAATATTAACCAAGTATCTTTACTAATGTATAATCTGTTATCCACTGTCTATGTCATGCAGAGGCCGACTCTGGTACTGAGGACTCGTCCCATAACGACAGCTCTGAAGGCGATTCCGCCGCAAGACTTAGACTGAAGAGAAAATTGCAGAGAAATCGCACCTCATTTACACCCGAACAGATCGAGGCCCTCGAAAAAGGTATGATCATGGTCCAATTTATAGCCTACCCCTAACTAGATACAGGACTGTTACCTACATGTAATTGCCCATGTGTTATTATGTCATTTCAAATTATTTCTATATCGATGAGTTTATTAACCATTTATTAACAGTCTATTGATTAGTCGTTTTGGTTAGTATTATATTTGATTTTAATTATGTTTGTTTTTAGCAAGCGAGATTTATATCAGTAATTTTAGAAATGTAATTTTTAAAATCAATTTTTCATTACTTATGGTTAAATAATGTTTGATTGAGATTTGTGTTGGAAATTAATTTCAATTTAATGTGCGATTAGTTTTGCAATCAATTATTGATTGATATTTTTGTCGACAAATTAAATAATTGATTATATTTTGAGATTTTTATCAATTGTTTGTTTTTAATGATTGTTTAATGTTTAATGTTTTTAATTTGTCATCAAATGATTTGTTAGTGAATTTAATTAAATGTTTATATTTAGTCATATATTATTCATTAAGATATTTATTGATTAAATCAATCAATGTGAATTGCGTGCAAACTATTAATTACAACTCATATCATATAATAAAACATATAAAACTATTTTATGGATTATATTAAATGATTTAATACTGAAAATACAGTTAATTTAATTAAATATCAAACCTATTCTAATAAACTATTATTTTACAATTACTCTATTTAAATTATATTTAAATTACCACTTTTAATAATAACATATATTTTGGTAAAAATTAATTATCAATCAAATAATTATCTCTATTTAACAGAATTTGAGAGAACCCATTACCCGGATGTGTTTGCCAGGGAACGATTGGCCGCCAAAATTGACCTACCTGAGGCTAGAATACAGGTAATTATATCAAGCTTAATGAATTATTTATACTAATAAAAATATTCAAATGCATTAAATTTGAAAATTTGCGTTAAAATAGTTGCTAGATAGAATTTTTAAAAATAAAATATATCATCAAATTTACCGCAGCCAGTTGTAATAATATTCATTCGTATCTAAATAAAAATTATCTACATATAAATTAATTACAGTTTATACACAGTGCATCAAAGCACAAAAATAACCATACTCTAACAAATAAAATTTTCAAATTTAATAACTCGTACTGTTCAACCATTTCTATATTAACAATTAACAAAAACTAATTACCTATATAACTAAAACCACCCTGTTACAACCCACCCGTACTTTTGATCATCAAATCTACACACATGAATGTATTATATTATGTGTTAATTATTCAGGCCTACGATCATATTATGCAGGTTTGGTTCAGCAATCGTCGGGCCAAATGGCGG